TTAAATTACTTATACAAGTACTTTTTAGAATAATTACAAATTAAATAAATCAAAACAACTGTATGTTAAGAATGATTAACTAACTAAATATAGCTTCAAACCTTTCAAGCAAATATAAAATAATGAAGGAGATTAAAACACAGTATCTGAGAATGCTTTAAGTGAATCTGAAAGTTTTCTAAGCAAGGGCAGTGAGCCGTTTCTTTTTTATTACTATGACATCATAGACAGCAGCAGGTCTAATAAGCTACATTCACACTAATGCACAGGTCTGTTTTACCATAACAGATGTTTTGTCCTGTCCTTAAGACATAACCGACTGTGTTTACATTTGCATTATAAAAGCATTTGGTGATTCAAATGCATTTACCACTTACATGGAGTCACGCATAGCAGCATTGCCGCAAGCGCCCTTCAGAACAAACACACACAGCAAATGTGAGCATTTGAAATCAATTTGGCATAAGGTAGAACACTGCAATACCGGTGGATGAAACTGCAATTATCAATCAAAACACGTTTCTCACAGCGCATATCCCGTGCAGTGAAATCCACGATTGCCCTTGTATTTCGCTTCAAACATGAAACCTTATGCAATTTTATGTATTGTATTTTGTATTGTATATTGTATATTGTATGTATTTTTTAGTTGTTTGATGGTTTTGTGTGTGTTTGTGAAAACATGATTGTCTCTAGTGCACAATTCCGTCGCACATATATGGAAAAAACTAACGTCAGAACTGATTCTGAATTTTTAAAAATCATTTAAAAGAGAATCGCCATGCATTGGAGAATCTGTTTTTGTACTTATTTTTTTTTGTCATATCTATTGTTCACATTAGAGCCCGACCGATATATCGTTTAGCCGATATTATCGGCCGATATGAGCCTGTCGCCGATATATCGGTATCGGCGAATATGCCGCCGATATGAACTTTTTTTTACAGAACATATAACGCAGATTAAATGCTTCTGAATGGTGTAATTACTTAGTTTGTCCAGCAGAGCGCGCTCCATTGTTTGCTACTGGTGACCCAGTTCCAGTCCGCTGCTTCAAATTATCAGCGCGCCCGCCACCCAGCCGCACCTATATTTGATCGTCACATTCTAATTCTTAGTTTTGCATGATGAAATGACGAATGGATGGTTAATTTTTAACAGCAGATTCAGTGATGTTAGAGACTAGAGCTGATCTGCGGCATGCGTGTGCGGTGCATTAAAGCCTGTGTTACGGCCACCGGAGCTGATCGTGAGTAGGGCACTATGATTTCCGCAATGCAGAAAACATGGACGGAATCGCGAAATCCAGTCATTAAAACAGAATTTACTGTATAACGCGGAATTTCATGGAATTTGTCTTCTTTTTCATGAATAAATAAAAACCAGGTCAGTACATATATATATATATATATATATAGACTGTGTCTGTGAATATTAAACTGCAAAAAGACTATTTAAATACGAATGTTCTGCATGTTCAGTTGATTATCAGAAAATACACAACACAGAGTTTGTGAAAAAATATTATTCATTATTATTTATTCATTTTAGATGTTTACATTTGGAAAAGCTGTGCTTCCTGCATAAACCTGCACCTGTTGGTTTAGTAGTAGCTTGCTTGCCCTTCACAGTTGCCTTGTTTAATTTCTTAATTCAGGTTATACAGTGGGGCAAAAAAGTATTTAGTCAGCCACCATTTGTGCAAGTTCTCCCACTTAAAAAGATGAGAGAGGCCTATAATTTTCATCATAGGTATACCTCAACTATGAGAGACAAAATTAGAAAAAAAAATCCAGAAAATCACATTGTAGGATTTTTAAAGAATTAATTGGTAAATTCCTCGGTAAAATAAGTATTTGGTCACTTACAAACAAGCGTGAAGTTTACTGTTAAGTGCACTGATGTCAGACTCATTTTGAATAATTAAGTTTATTGTTAAATTGTTAAATACCCTGCCTAAACTACATAGGCCTATGTTTGTCACATCATTATAAGTGTTTGATCACCACATTTGAGTTATCATTGCAAAAAATGTGTTTATGTGTATATATTCTGTTTATGTAGGCTATATACCAGCGGTTGCGAACTCCGGTCCTAGAGAGCCGCAGCCCTGCAGAGTTCAGCTCTAACCCTAATTAAAACTCACCTGCCTGTAGCTTCCTAATAACCGTTCAGACCTTGATTAGCTTGTTCAGGTGTGTTTGATTAGGTTTGAAGCAAAACTCTGCAGGGCTGCGGCTCGCCAGGACCGACATTCGCCACCCCTGCTATATACTGTATTCTATATACAGTACCAGTCAAAAGTTTGGAAGTGTGGGAAGTGTGTCCAAACTTTTGACTATACTGTACTATAATATAGCCTACACATAAAGAATATCGGCCGAAATATCGGTATCAGTCTTTTTTTACTCCCTAATATCGGTATCGGCATCGGCCCCCAAAAAACCCATATCGGTTGGGCTCTAGTTTACATATGTTGACACACATCTTGTCTTTCTGCTTGCAGAGATCACCTGCTGCACCACTGGATTGCGCTTCTTGCCGAGTGTCCAATCACAGCACAGATGTACGAGGACATGGCGCTCTTAAAGGACCATTCTCTGGTGAACTCTCTGATTCGAGTGCTACAGACTCTGCAGGAATTCAATATCACTCTGGAGGCCTCTCTCGTCAAAGGGATCGGGATATAACGCCGTCTGAATATAGAACTAACACAGATCAGCGGGACCATGGACTAACTTTTTTTTACATGGAGAGACTTGAACAAAAGGACTAAACCTGGCTTACGTTAAAGATTCTGTCATGTTTGCCATATATTAAGTGCAATGAGCCTTTTCAAACGCGTCATAATTTTTATCAACGTTACTGACATTCAAATATGTCTTCTGTTTTGATCCATACTTTTCACGAAAGGTGAAAACCCTCACCTGTGCTATACCGTTTTATTGAAAGCTCAATATTTTTCGTTGTTGTTGTGGACTGCTGACAATGGCTATATTTAAAAGGAAAACGTAAGAAAAACCGTTATTATATTTTCAAAGAAGAACAGTGTTATTTTGATATGTGTCAGGTTGCTTGCTCTGTGCTCTAATCTAATCCATACTGTCACAATGCAGAGTTCAAGGCAAATGATGTAGAAGTATGCTTTATAAGTACAACTTGTGGGGAATTCATATTTTTACTTAAAGAAAGCAAAGATGAGAAAAATGGAAAAAAGACTCTCTTTTGTAACAATGCCAGGGACTTGTGTCATTTCCCTCTAAATGCAAATCAGTTTAAAGGGACAGTTCACCCAAAAATTACACTATCGGTCAAAAGTTTAAACTACCGTATTGACCCGAATATAAGACGATGTGATTTTCTTGGAAATACATCTGAAAAAACGCGGTCGTCTTACATTCAGGGTCTAGACTTTGACATGTCAATAATACACCCACAACAATAGGTGGCGCCAAATACGCATAAAACGAGTGTGCCATGAAATACGTAATGTAATGCGTGTTGTAAAGATCACGAGTAAAAACAAAAGAAAAAGAAAACCTTACAGCTGCATGAGTCGTGACTGTCACGTTAGCCTGATGAGCCGCAGCCCTGCAGAGTTCAGCTCTAACCCTAATTAAAACTCACCTGCCTGTAGCTTCCTAATAACCGTTCAGACCTTGATTAGCTTGTTCAGGTGTGTTTGATTAGGTTTGAAGCAAAACTCTGCAGGGCTGCGGCTCGCCAGGACCGACATTCGCCACCCCTGCTATATACTGTATTCTATATACAGTACCAGTCAAAAGTTTGGAAGTGTGGGAAGTGTGTCCAAACTTTTGACTATACTGTACTATAATATAGCCTATATCGGTATCAGTCTTTTTTACGCCCTAATATCGGTATCGGCATCGGCCCCCAAAAAACCCATATCGGTTGGGCTCTAGTTTACATATGTTGACACACATCTTGTCTTTCTGCTTGCAGAGATCACCTGCTGCACCACTGGATTGCGCTTCTTGCCGAGTGTCCAATCACAGCACAGATGTACGAGGACATGGCGCTCTTAAAGGACCATTCTCTGGTGAACTCTCTGATTCGAGTGCTACAGACTCTGCAGGAATTCAATATCACTCTGGAGGCCTCTCTCGTCAAAGGGATCGGGATATAACGCCGTCTGAATATAGAACTAACACAGATCAGCGGGACCATGGACTAACTTTTTTTTACATGGAGAGACTTGAACAAAAGGACTAAACCTGGCTTACGTTAAAGATTCTGTCATGTTTGCCATATATTAAGTGCAATGAGCCTTTTCAAACGCGTCATAATTTTTATCAACGTTACTGACATTCAAATATGTCTTCTGTTTTGATCCATACTTTTCACGAAAGGTGAAAACCCTCACCTGTGCTATACCGTTTTATTGAAAGCTCAATATTTTTCGTTGTTGTTGTGGACTGCTGACAATGGCTATATTTAAAAGGAAAACGTAAGAAAAACCGTTATTATATTTTCAAAGAAGAACAGTGTTATTTTGATATGTGTCAGGTTGCTTGCTCTGTGCTCTAATCTAATCCATACTGTCACAATGTAGAGTTCAAGGCAAATGATGTAGAAGTATGCTTTATAAGTACAACTTGTGGGGAATTCATATTTTTACTTAAAGAAAGCAAAGATGAGAAAAATGGAAAAAATACTCTCTTTTGTAACAATGCCAGGGACTTGTGTCATTTCCCTCTAAATGCAAATCAGTTTAAAGGGACAGTTCACCCAAAAATTACACTATCGGTCAAAAGTTTAAACTACCGTATTGACCCGAATATAAGACGATGTGATTTTCTTGGAAATACATCTGAAAAAACGCGGTCGTCTTACATTCAGGGTCTAGACTTTGACATGTCAATAATACACCCACAACAATAGGTGGCGCCAAATACGCATAAAACGAGTGTGCCATGAAATACGTAATGTAATGCGTGTTGTAAAGATCACGAGTAAAAACAAAAGAAAAAGAAAAGCTTACAGCTGCATGAGTCGTGACTGTCACGTTAGCCTGATGGGACCAAACTCCCTTTGTGATTTTAAAATGTAAGACAGTACCCAGATTTGAAGACTACAGTAAGATTTAACTTCTACTGTTAATAAGATTGTGGTAAGCTACTATTAGATGGATAGCCTAAATGTCCTAATTCAGATGTTTTTTTAAGTGTATATATTTTAAATGTGATTGTTGGTACATTTGATCAGTTTTTACCATACTTTCGAAACAAAAATTAAAATAGGAAAAATATGCAATATGAAAATAATTGAAGACAAAATGTGTTTTACTGAGAAAAAACAAGATTTGGTTTTTAAAAAGCCTTTTTCCAAAAGTTACATCTGGAAAAAGGGGGGTCGTCTTATAATCAGGGTCGTCTTATATTCGGGCCAATATGGTAATTAGGTGTTTTAATGTTTTTAAAAGAAGTCTCTTATGCTCACTGAGGCTATTTGAATTCATTTTAAAAATGTAATTTATTCCTGTGATGGCAAAGCTGAAATTTCAGCAGTCATTACTTCAGTTTTTAGTGTCACTTAATCCTTCAGAAATTCTAAAATGCTCATTTTGTTTTTGCTCATTGTTATTTCAATTAAATGCTGTTCTTACAAACGTTCTATTCATCAAAGAATCCTATAAAAAAAGTTTCCACAAAAATATTAAGCAGCAAAAAAAGTTTCCAACATTGATAATAAGAACCATTTTTATAATTGAGAACCAAAAATAATTGAGCACCAAATCAGCATATTAGAGTGATTTCTGAAGGATCATGTGACACTGAAGACTGGAGTAATGATGCTGAAAATTCAGCTTTGCCATCACAAGAATAAATTACTTTTTAAACTTAAAACTATTAAACAATTACTAAGAAAACCGTTTTTATATTGTAATAATATTTCACAACATTACTCTTTTTACGGTATTTTTGATCAAATAAACAGTGAGCGTAAGAGATTTATTTCAAACACATAAAATATTGAATTATTCCAAACTTTTGACTGGTAGTGTACAAGTTGGTCATCATTTACTCATCGTCCTGTCATTCCAAACCCACTTTTTTCTTTCTTTTTTTCTGCCCATACAATGAAAGTGAATGGCAGCCACAAATGTCTGGGAAAAGAGCAGCTTGAACTTTCATCTAAATATCTCCTTTTGCTTTCCACACAAGAAAAAGGGTGAACTGTCTTCTTGAGCTTATTGTGATCCCCTAAAATCAAAGATATGACTCATGAAAGTGATGCTCAAGCATATTTTACAAGATGGGACTGTAAAAACTAAAAACAATCAATGCAGAAAGGATAATGTTTCGTAACATTCCTCATCTCTTCAGCCCTCAGGTCTCGACTGTGGCCAACTACCAATGCCATATCTGGAGTAGAATTAATTTGCGGCACAGTTACTGTGATCGTGTCCCTGTCCTTAGTTAACCCCAGCATCCCCTCTGTTTCTGCTATGCAATATTTACAGCTCCAAAATGTTGTTATTGAATATTAATGAAATATCATTCACCTGTTTTAGAGTGTAGCATAATTTGTAGGACATAACTGGGAGAAGCACATTAAAGGCTGATATTCATGTGCCAATTTCATCATGACTGTTCTGGTACCTGTTCAAACACAGCTGGCATGAGCATTCTGGGAGTTATTTTTTCTTGTGTTTTATCTCTTGATACATTTATAGACAAAAGCAGTGTAATGTAGTGTTAAATATTGAACAACTGTGTACAGTGTATAAAATGTATTAAAGGTGGCAATTCAATATGATTATGCTTCAGTCTTGACTTTCAAGAGCACAATCTGTCTGAAAATGGAGTTGCAGTACAATCAGTTACATTTATTTGAGTTTTTAATTTAAGCATTTAAATTAAATACATGTTTAATGACTAGTTTCAACAGCATTTTCCTCCCTACGGATCAAGCTTTATTGTTTAATAACCATATTAAGAGACTATATGGGTTTTATTAAAGGGTTTAGATAGATAGCAAGGAATCATTAAATTGATCAAAAGTGACTGTCGAGACATTTTTACACACAATATATAGGCCTATATATTTCAATTAAATGCTGCTCTTATGAACTTTATTCATCAAAGAATCCTGTAAAAAAAAAAAAAAGGTTTCGAACATTGATAAGAAACATTTTTAATAATTGACCACAAAAACAGCATATCACAATGATTTCTAAAGTAGCATGTGACACTGAAGGCTGGAGTAGTGACTACTGAAAATATTTCATATTATTAAAATTAATGTAATAATATAATTTAAAATGAACCAGTGAAGGCAGAAAGGTGATTAAAAATAAGGAAAACTAAAAAAATATGTGTGAAACCCCAAATAGGCTCTTAATTATTCATATTCATTTCCAATCTTAAACGTGTTACTTTAAGTGTAAAAAAAAATGGTCATAAACTTGAACTTAAGCAATATGGGATACTTTGTTTTTAATAAGATGGTGTTCAAAATTAATGGACATCTTATGTGTCAAGTACCCATTTTAAGGCTAATATCGCGTACAAAAAAAAAAGTGTATTACATTTAACTAAGAGTATATTAATATCGCGTTTCTCTAGCTCAGTCATAACATGTGCAGAAACATTATAGCACATTTGGGAGCGTTCGACAATTTAATGTCATGCAGCATAATGCTAATATAATACAAAAGGTCGCGTATTTCAAGCATTCGAGCGACAATATATGATTGTAACTTTAATTGGTAAAAGACTGTAACAATGCTATGGTTCATGATAAGTTCTCTTACTATACTCCGTGAAAAACTGAAATCTAATCAGACATTTCATGTAATTTTACAGTAAAATAGGTTTTGGAAGTGGAAAAATACATCATCTAGCTTTTGTAGATCGCATATTAATGTTTGCTGTCATGTCTTTTACAGATTCAGATGCCCACAGCACCACATCCAGTATGTCTCCCTCTCAGTCTCCCAGCCACAGTAATCAGTCTGACGACGGGTCGGACATCGAGACCAAGCAGAGGCGCCCAAACCCATCGAGGTTCTCCTTTCTCGACCTGTCCTACTGGAAGAGGTATTCCTTTCCTTCTTTTCACGAATGCGTGCTAAGAGATGTGCTAGTTGTTGAGCTGAAAAATAACACTTCTATTCAATGGTTCAGGCAAAAGGTGTGCTGTGGGATCGTCTACAAGGGGCGTTTCGGTGAGGTGATCATCGATCCTCGTCTCTTCAAGCCCTGCTGTAACAAGAAGCGCCCAGCTCTGGCATCCTCTCCGGACTCTCAGATCTCACAAGCGCATCCTTCCCCTCTTCCAGAGGACATGAAGGAGGCATGGTGATCCAACTAAAACACCCTCCAAACTGTCTCGTTGAGGCCCTCATAGCTTTGTCTCCAGTGGTAGACTCTGTTATCTTCCCTTTGTTAGATTACTGTGTATGAGTTGAGTTGTCCCCTTGCTTTTGTATTTTTATGACTTATTTTGTAACATGTAATTTTTGTATCTTTTTTTTTATATATAACAGAAAAGGAGGAACAAATTGGGCATTAGGACATATTTATAGATCTGAGTTAGGAAATTTTATGTAATCCATTTTTTATTATTACTGTAATTTTTTTTTGGAGTTACCAGTGTTTTGTAAATATAATCTTATTTTCATAGCATTTTTCTTAACATGCTTTACACAGAGCAGTCTTAACTGCAAGCAGGAAGTTGATAGAGGCAATGAAAAGATGTAAAACACAACAAACTATTCTGGAATATAATTACAAAGGACAGATCAACACATTTAGAAATAAATATTCCCACCCCCCATTATACTGTATGCAGATTCCCTTTAGCGCCCCCTTGCAGACCCCAGTTTGAAAATCACAAAGCTCCAAATGAATAAACTAGAGTGAAGATTTGGTGTAGAATGGAGGGTCCACCTTTAAACTCCACTGTGTGTTGTGACTGAACAGCTGTTGGCTATCTTGTAGTCACAATTTCGTCATTACTGTTGAAGCTGACCTGAATGGTGGCTTTTGATGAGCTTTGTTCTTCTTTCCGTGCTTGACAGGTGAGAGTCAAAAACCACAAGAAAATAAAGAGACCTACGATGAAATGGACAGTATTAATGTCAGATAATATATTTTTTTAATCAGGAGCTTTTGCTTCACATTGCAAATTTAGGGCCACAGACCTGACTCAAATCAAATAAATAAACAACTGGCACTTAAATATGCATTCAAATTAATAAAAACATCAACATTTTTCTTTTTGAACAACTGGTCAGTCACGTGCTTAATTATCAAAAAATGTTTTTGCACAACTCACAAGGTCAAACTAATAATACATGAACTGTTTTATTATGTTACATGTGCACCCTGATATGCTTATAACTTTATAGCATTAAAAATTAAACATAAAAAAATCTAATAAAATGAATTAAAAAAACTGGATTGCTGATTAAATTAAACTGTCACTTAGTATCATAAATTCAAGAAAGATATTTGTAAAATATCAGTTTTCTTACAATAACATTGCAAAGGTTGAATGGTTGAGCTTGACAGACACAGTTAGTCTTACAATTTGTGCAAAAATTGAGGAAATTAAATGAGCTCTTCCTGTCATGCTGTAGAAAAGATCCAAACCATTATTTCCCCTGGTGTCACAATGTTATGAACTTTAAAATTGTGACCCAAGAAATAACAACACTTTTACATATTGCTATAAAGAAACAACTTGTAGTAGCCTAATCTGCATCCAAGCGGTCAAGACTGGTTAAACCATGTTAGCCCTATACTGAGAGACTCTGCAACTACACCATTTACTACAGCACAGGGCTTTAATAGCAGAGACACCGTTACATGTGCACCCTGATATGCTTATAACTTTATAGCATTAAAAATTAAACATAAAAAATCAAATAAAATGAATTAAAAAAACTGGAATAAAAAACTTAATTTAATTGCAGATTAAATTAAACTGTCACTTAGTATCATAAATTCAAGAAAGATATTTGTAAAATATCAGTTTTCTTACAATAACATTGCAAAGGTTGAATGGTTGAGCTTGACAGACACAGTTAGTCTTACAATTTGTGCAAAAATTGAGGAAATTAAATGAGCTCTTCCTGTCATGCTGTAGAAAAGATCCAAACCATTATTTCCCCTGGTGTCACAATGTTATGAACTTTAAAATTGTGACCCAAGAAATAACAACACTTTTACATATTGCTATAAAGAAACAACTTGTAGTAGCCTAATCTGCATCCAAGCGGTCAAGACTGGTTAAACCATGTTAGCCCTATACTGAGAGACTCTGCAACTACACCATTTACTACAGCACAGGGCTTTAATAGCAGAGACACAGCAAAATATGACATTTTAATCATTAAAATATTTCATAATAATAATAAAAAATGCTAATTTAAGCATGTTTTACATCATTTTGTGAAGTCATCCTCGCGCTCATTGGCTGCCGTCTCTGTAGATACGCTAATAATCTCATTAAATGTAGTTTAGTGCTTCAAAAAGCGAAAATAACACACTTTTGATCGTGCTTTACCAGCTGAAAAAAACGGGAGAATCAACTGTACTGCAGAAGAAGCAACAAAGACCGACAAAAACAATAAAAGGAACGTAAACATCGGTGAGGCAAACACAAGGTAGGTAGTGAAAATAATAAGTCGTGATGCTTCTGTTTTAGTTGTAAAGGAAAGGGGGTTAATTTGAGTGTAGACCACTCTTTAAAACTCACTAGTATCAGTGTAATTCCTATAAAACTGAGAAATGATTGTACTGGACGTCTATAAATGGCAGAAACACTGTGAATCTTTTGTTTCGAGTCAGTGGCGCTTGTTGAAATTCATCTGGTTTAAACGGATCTCGAGTCTGATTAATTACTCGCAGAATTCATTTTCAACAGGCCTGTTACATTTAGTGTTTTTTCAATGCATTTCAATTGACATTTTCATGAACACATTTGCAATTGTTCTGTAAAATGTGTCATTATGACTATTTGGTCTGAGTTTTAATTGCATTTGCACCGTTTTGACGAGCAGGTGGCGCCAGCATGTGGTGTTTTGAGCAGTGTTACTAATTTAGCAATTTTTCAGACTACCCTAGCAACTTTTTCCCATAAAAAGCACCTAGCAACAAATGACTCAAACCATAAAAAAACAAGAAAAAGCCATAAAAAAGCACCTCTAAATTAGGCCTACACAAAAAGAGGCAACCATTGAACAGCTACACTTTCAAATGATTTGCGTACTTTTTATGAATGTGTATTTTGCAAAAGGTTTGCAACTACTTTTTATCACTTAATGATAAGGGACTGCTAACAAAAATGTAGAAGTTTATTTTAAAGTTTTGCCATTTTATGTGTAAATAAAGCTCTGTAACCGACTCTCCGACTCTCTCTCTCTCTCTCTCTGTCTGTGTGTGTGTGTGTGTGTGTGTGTGCATGCGTGAGTGATGTGTGTGGGTTTGTGTGCATCAATTAAAGCAGCGCATTAATATAGAACGGTGATTAAACTGAGACTTGGAACTACCGGTGCATTAAACGGTTTTACTGCATACCTGCCAGCCAATCAGAATCCAGTGTTCAGACAGACCATGGAATAATACGTTTTGTCTCACACATCTAATAGTTTTCACACCAAAGTATGTTTTTTTCTTGCTTTCAAAAAGTGATGGGACAGCAGTATTAATGAAAGTGACAGTTACATATGATTGTACCTAATTAACACCTGCTTCTGTTTCAAATAACAACTCTGTAACAATTTCTTACCCTGTAAACTGTTGAGAATGGTGAAAACATAGAGCGCAGGGAGACTCAAGGGCCCATAGGTGGAGAAAGCCAGTACCCAGGGCACTCCCAGAACACAGCAGAGCCCGAGTAGAGACACCCATTCTTTCCATGCCCTCCTCCGATGGTCTTTAATATTAAGAGTTTGTGATCTCAATTTGTGCATTTTAACCACCACCACCCCCAGCATAACCATGTTAAAGAGCACCACCATCCCGAGATAACCGTTGACAGTAATGTAGCTCACTGTCCGTGTGGTTATCCAGCATCTAAAGGAGAAGAAGCCAATGAAAACACTCCTGTTATAGGCCTGAGAGATGATGGAGAAGTAAAATTGCAGTGCAATTTGAATCGATTGACCTTACAGAGGTGTGATTGTTGAGTTTTCTTCACCCGTGTAAAAGGTATATTTGCCATACACTTTAGTCACATGGCATATTATCACGGTAATGGTAGGTACACCTATAGGAAAAGATTAATAGAATAAAACAAGCTTACAATACATGTTTAATTCAAATGTAATTGTTATTTAAAGGTCAGTTCACCCCAAAAATGTTTCATTATTTACTTGCCCCTGTGTTCCTCCATGGAACACAAATAAAGTTGTTGATCAGAATGTTCTGTTCTGCCTGGTCCCGCTATTCAGGATTGAGTTGAGTTTGCCTTTTACATTCCACTTTGATTTCAAAATTTGAATTCAATTTGAATTGAGGTAGCAAACAGGATGCTAATCAGCGTATCTTCCGATTATTTCTTTATTTTTATTTAATAATGAAAACAGAAAAATAAGAAAACGCCAACGCCCTTTTTTCATTTTTCAAAAACAAACAAACAAAGTTTGGCTTGATATTTAGTTTTTACATTCAGGGATAAACAAATTAATAAACAGCTTGAATATTTGATCTTTGCATGTGGGCGGGAATTAAACGCCCCTTCCCAATGATTGGTCAACCAAACATTAAACCACGTTCCCCAGTTCGGTGATTAATAATATTAATAAATATTTCTGAAATAATATTTATTAATATTTATGAGATAAACTAATATTTCTCAGGTAGGTTGCTGAATTTATGCCTACACAGTTTGTGTCAAGCCATTTGTTAGCCTGGTAAAGAGAAAGAGATTAAATATAGTTGAAATAAAGCATTAAGAATCCATTCAACTGTAGCAGTGGAGGACTATTATTCTGTTGCATGGAACTGGGGAACAATAAATGATTGCAGTGGGAAGGTGTGTTTAATTCCTGCCCACATGCAGAGATCGAATATTCAAGCTGTGTGTTCGTTTTCTATCCCTAAACGTAAAAAAGAAGCCGAATTCTTTTTTTTTTTAAATGCAAAAGGCAACACTATCTTATTTTTTTCTGCTTTCAATATAAAAAAAATAAATAAATGAAATGCTAATTTGAAATTAGAATTTTAACCTTTCATTTTAGCTCAGCTCTTTTCAAAACAATAAGTTTGGATTTCTGAACAGTTAGTTGTTCACACCAAATTTTAATTTCTTAGTAATTTAAGCAAATTACACAGATTGCTGATCACAACAACATGTCATGGGGGTTAATGACTATTCTGAGTGAACTAACCATACAAATTCTAGTGAAGGTTTGCCGTTTTTGGATAGAGAGTCCAGGATGAAATCTGTTTTATTTTTTTCTGAATTCGATTTTAAGGCGTGGTTTAGTGTCAAGAAACCCCAGACTACTTTTTCTGAGATTGTAGCAGAGGTGTTTGTGTTGCACATCAAAGACAATGTTAGCATCCATTAATTTAAATTGATGGAGAAAACTGGTTAATTAGCTTTTTTTGCGCTATTTTCGTCTTCCGGGTTTAAAATCTACATCGTGTCGACGTCACAATTTGTG